TGTAGTGTTTGGCAAGTATTACTATTATTGTCATCATTATTATTGCTATTACTAATCTAAATAGCATGCAGATTGTTTGTAGCTGGACAAGTTTACCAAGACATTTTTCAAAAACTACGAACTCTCCACCAAAAAAAAAAAAAAAGAAAAAAGAAAAACAACAACAACAAAAAACTGAACTGACCCCCTAAAATGCCTTCAGTAAGAACGTGGCACTTCTCCTGAGGGTGCGGAAGACACTGCCAGGAGTCCCTGGGGGAGTTAACATTCAGCGAGCACTGTGGGGGGACACGGCACCTGAGATCTGTAACATGTACCCCTCTCCCTCGCAGCTCACAAATGGCCTGGGTTTGACTCACCTTCCCCCCCTGCTTAGCGTCTGCCCTCAGACGCATCTGAGGGGGTGTTCCAAACACGCAGGCACACCCGGGAACAAGCACACGCGGCCCCTCCGGCATCTGCTCCCGCAGCAATCCACTCAGTCTTACAAACAAAAAGCAAATTCGAGATTTCTAAAACTGCAACTCTCATCTGTAATGAAATCTGAAACCTACAAGTCTAGGCCAGTAGCATCCTTTAAGTAAAGCAAACATTTGCCTCAAGTAGAAAAGCCACAACTTCATTGCTGCTTCAAAATGAAGGTTCTTAATTCTTGGCCATGGGCTTGATGGGTATCACAGTCAGAAAAACCACACGCTGCAGAAATGGTTTTTATAGGGAAAACTGCTACCTGGAAACTTTCATTTCAATCCACAGTTTTGAAATCTATTCAAATACAAATATTACAAATAATAACACAAAGGAAAGTCCAGGACCATATTGAGGGAGTGAATATCCTCAAGGAACCTGGGGACATTTTTCATAACCACTGCAGGGTTTACTGGGGTATATGTTTACAAATATTTGCTGGTGCTCGGAGAGAATGTTAAGGCCACCGTCAACTCCAATTTGCTGTCCATGGTCTGGTATAAAGCTACATCTCATTTCATTAGACAAAATGAAGACGAATCAGCCGTAACTACTGTTCTTTGTACTATTTCTTGCTACACTCCCCGCTTTTGTTGCCTTGTCATAACTTTCCTTCCCTTCCTTACTCCTTCACATTTTTCATATTTACACATTTACTTAATATTTTCTTTCTACAAGGTACCTTTCACATGTTATCTCATTTTATTCTCATGGGAAACAAGCATTATTATCTTGACTTTTAAAAGTTAGAAAACTGAAACCTAAAGCACTATATGACCTGTTCAAGATCTCAGTATAAATGGATGAAAGAAAACTTTAATTTTTCTGATTCCACACTACCATAGCTCAGTGGTCATGAGATTTGTCTGTTAACCATTTGTCTTCCTTTCTCCTATTTCTTTCTTCATTCCTTAAGGCTGTATGGCTTTCTGTTTGTTCTCAGTGACTAGTATCAGCTCGAACGTTTCCCAGCTAAGAAATTCTCCTAGGCACATGCAAATACTGGAAGAGGCACCTCTCCTATGCGCTCCCATGACACGCTAGTTTCCCTGTGAGACGGTCTGAGACACATGGCTCCCTGATACAGGGATTACGTGTAGCTTATTCAATACTGTGATGCCGGAAACACGGAAACCAGGGGTGCTTCCTGCTTAGAAAGTAAAAGTCCACCCCCAAAGAGTGATGATATGACCACCAAAAGGCACCTTCTCAGTACTCAGCATGAGCTCGAGGAAAGGGTCCTGGATGGAGGACAGCTGACTCAACACTAGTGGGTAAGTAAGAATTAGTCGGATGAAGGAGCTGGTGGTACTAAATGGGTATGGGGTGGGGTGGGGGTGGAAATAACAAAGAAGTAGGAGAAACAGAAATACCAGTCATTAGAGAGAGGAGGCCACCTGCCTTTTCAGAAACACTTATCTAACTATAAGGCAGTTTCAAGTCTCACAAAGAGCAAATGATTTGATGACAGAAATCTGTAGCAAGACATAAACAAGGAGAGCTCTAAAAATTCTCTCCATAGATGACAATAGAAAATTTCAGATAAGCCTGAATCCTTTTGTAAAGCTACTAAAGATGGATGGAACACTATCTCCCTAAAATACTAGAAATCCCTTCCTTCATAACCTGCCTCAAAATGGCTTGAACACAATCCATCTCCTTGCATTTCAGTGTTAAACAGATTATATTACTGCTAAAAATAACATAATTCCTTTCTTTTATCACGAAAGTAAAGAGAAGCTGGCTATAATAGAATTTTCACATCAGTGATCTCTATCTGAAACCTGTTTCACTATTACATTATACGATTTTAATATGAAATATTTCAAACCAAGAGACAGAAATAGAAAATAGCAAATTTCCATGCACCCACTATTCAGTTTTGTCAAATCATAACATTTTTTCATATTTAACTTCGTATCTTTTTTATTTTAATAAAATACTCTGAACACATTTGAGGACTGGTTTGGACCTCTTCCCTAATACCATGCTCCACCTCCTAGAAGGCACTAGCATGAAGTTGATATACTCTTTTTTAAAAATGTAAACATGTGAAGAATATATAGGATTATTTAGTGGTTTCTTAAATATTACATGTACTATGAATTTGATAATATGGAAATCTAGCTATTCTAACAAATCTCGCTAAGACAGGACATCCATCAGGGGCTTACTAAATTATAACAAGAACCCTTTTAAATACATATCTGAGCTCAAACGTAGGTAGGGGAAATCTGCAGGTATAAAGAAACAGAAGTACATCAAGATATGTGAGCACTCACATTCCAGCTCGGGGGATGGTAGCTAAGACTCCTACACAGGACCAAGACTTTCTATTACAGCTATTTTTCTGTACCTCTGTCAACACTTACAAACGTTATATTTTAAAAAGTATTTTCATACATGAAAAATGACATGGTGGTTTTCATTTGCTTTCCCCTGATTACTAATAAGGGCAAGCATCTCTTCATGTATTCATAGTCCTTCTTTTGTCACTTTCATGTTCACTCACTTCTCTCTTAGGTTGATTTCCACTTGTTTATTTAGAGTTCTTTCTATATGTTGACTGCTTATTTGACACACCACCACACTCCTATTAGAAGGGCTAAAATTAAAATGGCTGACTATATCAAGTGCTGTCGAAGACGCAGAGCAACTGGAACCTTCATACACAACTAGAAGGAATGTAAAATGGCACAAGTACTTCAGAAAACAGTTTAGCAGCTTCTCAGGAAGTTAAAATACACGTACCATAGGACCTAGCAATTCCATTCCTAGCTACACGTATTTACTGAAGAGAAATGAAAGCAAACATCCATCTAAGACTTATGCACGAATGTGCCTAGAAGCTTTCCTTGTAATAATAGCAAAAGACTGGAAGTAACCCAAATGCCTATCAATGGGTAGATGGATAAACAAACTATGGAATGGAATGCTTAGCAATAAAAAGGAACGACCTCTTGACTTACACTACAACATGGATGGATCTCCAAATACTTATGCAAAGTGAAATAAACCAGGCTATAAAAAAAATAAATTAAAAAAAAAGTACACATTATAGAATTCCATTTATATAAATCTAAGAGGTGCAAACGAATCAATAGTGACAGAAACTAGTTCACTGGATGCCTGGGGTGAGGAGATACAGGGAAGAGTGAGAAGGAGAGATTACCAAGGGACGAAGGAAGCTTTGGAGGTGATGTTTATTATCTTGATTCTGCTGGTGGTTTCACAGGTGTATACATGTCAAAACTTATAAAATTGTGTAAATATGTTCACTTTGTTGTATGTCAACTTGGCAGATTGTAAACTTTAAATATGTATAGTTTATTTTATGTCAATTATACCTCAATAAAGCTGTTCTTTTAAAAAGATCACAGAAATAAGAGAATTCTAACCATGCTAGGCTTCTATATTCTACACATGTTTTAATTGTAGGTCACAATTAAGGAAAATCTCCTAACCTTCTCTTTATAGCTATCTAAAAACAAACAAAATATTATCTCAAGGAAGTTAGAAATAGTTGGAGGGGGATGCACCACAAACAGAAATTTTCTTGTTGAAATAATGGAGGGCAAGTGACTAAAGTGAGAGTCCAGCTCTTAAAAATGTTGTTCTTCCTCCAGGAAACTCACTGTTAATATTTTTGCTATTGACAGTAGTAATTAGTATATAAATATGTAAAATTTTCCACTGGGCCCACTCACATGGTTAAGAATCTTGCCCCACATGGTGGATGGACCTAGAGGGTATTATGCTAAATGAAATAAGTCAGACAGATAAAGACAAATACCATATGATTTCACTTACGTGTGGAATTTAAAAGACAAAATAAACGAACAAACAAAACAGAAACAAACTCAAAGGTACAGAGAACAAACTGATGGTTGCCAGATGGAAGAGGGATTTGGGGGCTGGGTGAAAATGGTAAAGGGATTAAGCAGTACAAATTAGCAGTCACAAAATAGTCGTGGGGATATAAAGTACAGCACAGGGAATACAGTCAGTAATGTAATAACTATGTATGGTGTTAGGTGGGTATTAGACTTATCGGGGGGATCACTTTAGTTATATAAATGTCTAACCACTAAGCTGTACACCTGAAACTAATAAAATAATATTGAATGTCAACTGTAATTGAAAAATAATTTTAATTAAATAAATAAAATGAGGAAAAGAAAAAAAGAATCTTGCCCCACTGGTCAAGCCTGACCTAATGATAATATAGTTACATAATAACACTAATCAGTCTGCACTTTCTCCCAATTGATGACCATAATCTTAATCCATTATCATTCTTAACACAAGATATCATCATTTTTTTCTTTCTCTAGCTAATTTTATTTTTATATCCTCTTGCTTCTCACATGGTACAAACCAGAAAATCTGTAAATTCTACCTCACTAAGCACCTTAACAATTAAGTCACAACTTAGACCAAAAAAATCTAGATCAACTAGCCTTAATGATTTCAGGACGATGGTAGTTATTGAATAGTTAAGCCCCCAAAGACAAAGGCGTTTGAGTACCTACCGTCTCCAAAAAGATGTGTCACAAGCTTGGTAAGTGTCTGCTTCAGGTCAAACTCTACGAGCTTCATGGCCTCCATGGTATGTGTCTCTTGTTTATGGGCTGAGCGAGAACTTTGTTCAAAGAGCTGCAGGCTTTCTCCACCCTTTATGCTGGCAAATAACTGTAAACCAAGAGGAATAATATAAATACATATAGCATCTTTGCCAGTCTATATCAAAACACATAATGTGGGAATAGAATGCATTCCATCTTAGAGCCAACGAACATACTGAAAATAACATTCACTTAGTACCAACTTTGAACAAAGTTGATAATGAAGTGTTTAGGGAAATAAAAGAAGACACTGTTCTGATCTTTGGTTGATCTCTCCATTTGACTTTTGTGCTAACTTACAGTCATTTCCTCATAAGAGGCATTATCCTTGATGTTAGTGGAATACCAGTGAATCAGGCTTTCAGACTCTAAAATTGTATCCCTGACTATCCCAGTGTCCTTAGAGTGTGTCCTGAAACTAGGTGGAAAGGATAGCCAAGGAATTAAATCCTGTGAAGTCCATGAAGGCAGGAAGTGTGCTGGACTTAATTGATCCTGTATCTCCAAGCCCAGGACGGGGCCTGAAGCATATTTCTGCCACTTAGCAGCCAGGTAAACTCCAGCAAGTGCTACGGCAGCCAAGCCTTGCGTAATGCTTTGTAAAGTAGGAATAGCAACACTAAATTAGGACACTTTATAATAATTAAGTAAAATAATGCATGAAAAGCACAGAGTGCCTAGTACATTGCAACGGCTAAATAAATGTCCCTCGTTATCATCACAATCATAATTTTTAGTCACACCTATTATTCATAAGCTGCTTTACCACTAAGAGAAAGGGTCCCCACCTTTAACAACACTGACTTCACCTGCTAGGAGACTGACTCAAGGAGAACTGAGCAAATGAATCTACCATTGTTTCCACCTGATGTCCATGAAATAAAAAATAAAAAACATTTTTTTTTAATAAAAGAACAAGTTCACTGCTGTTTCTAGTAATACAGGGCTGGATAATTAGAACCAAATCCCCTGATGAATCTACAAAAACTCTTAAAGGCACTGAAAAAATAACACAATAGAGAGTACGCACAAAACCAGAAGAAAGCCCAGCACAAAGCCTGAGAAATATAATGAGAATATCTGCCTATCCAACGTATCAACAGAAAACCTGAACATTGGTTGTGACAGCTTACCACAGCAAAGGAAGCCTAACAGTCCTCAGTGTCTGATAAACAGCCTTAAAGGATGGGCGTCGAATAAACAGCCTAAAGGATGACGCTCTCTCCATCACTAACAGGAGGGCTCTATATGCTAGAGCCACGTGGATGTCTCAAGGCAGGAGCAGGTGGAGGGAGGCTGACTGACATTCTGTGGTGCCAGTTACGACACCAGAACTGAATGCAGGTTATCGCAGCACTTTCTTCCTTAACTAAATGAAAGAAGGCAACCAAAGGAAAAATGCAGTAGAAATGTGGAAAAGAAATGCTTGAAAGTTGAATAAATAATCTTCATACAGGCAAGAAAGCAAAAGAAACACGGCTCAAACCCAAAAGAGGTTCAGAAGAAACCCTTCAGAGGGAAAAGACGTGGCTTTGTGATGTTGTTGTTCATTTTATAAAACTCTAAAAGAGAACATGGCATAGAAAATAATGAAGATAAAACAAACATTAATTCAAGTGGTCCCTTTGATGGCCAGGGGCTCATACAAGACGACCTCTGTCAGGGGCACCAAGTAAGAACATTTTAGGCACGTGAGAGGCACAAGAGCACAGGCTCATTCATTTTAACTTAATGCTGATGAAATAATTCCACCGCCCAGCCTGAGGTATCTGGACCTGGGCAACAGGTTTGGGGTCTGGCCTAATCTCACAGTTAAAAAAAAAAAAAACTTACGCTTGAATTGTGACTAACCTAAACAAACTAAGAAGTAATGGAACAAAACATTTTGGCAGCAGCGTCAAGACAACATTTAGTAAGGTAAATCAGAAACAGATGCCATGTTTTCAAGTTACAAAGTATTTCTGCACTATAACATTAAAACAAATGTGTTAAGGTCACTTTAACAGCATTTGAAATTTTAACCAGCTCATAAGCCAATAAGCCATTACTATACCATCGATTCAGTTAAATTTAGGTTCTTAAGTCGATCTTGGCCTGAGGTCACAGAGCTCAAGTCTAAAGCCCTATGGGACAGACCATGACAGCCGACTTGCTCGGAACCACAGCAAATGCAAGTGTAAGTAACATCGGTAGTAACAACACAATCCAAGGTAATGTTAATGGAAAATATTGCTGGTGATACAGCCAAACACAATAGTTTTAGACAGGTTGACTACAAGAAAGAAATGAGGCCATCGCTATTAATTCAGGCTGCGCAAACCAGCATTTTAGTTAGCAGAGGGAGGAAGAGGAAGGAGCAGGAGAAGGAGAAAAAGGAGACAGAAGAGGAGGAAGAGAAGGAGAGAAGGGGAACGAGGAGGAGCTTTAAAATCTCAGTAAGAGAACCCAAATGTGCTTTGTGTTGGAACGAAGCTATGCCTATGTTCATAAAACATTTCTGCAAGCTAATTTTTTTTTTTAATTGGGGAATTGGGAGAGGGGAACAGCGTTGGGAAATTGGGGAAGGGGGACAGACAAGTTGCTGTCCTTTGTTCTTCAGGCTAGTTGTGGAGGACATCGCCTCAGTGGCCCATGTTGGTATTATCATTGCGCTCTTCCCAGGTGAGGCAGATGGGTCGCCGGCCTCTGGATGGCCGCTCACAGAGGCTCTTGGCAGCTCACACCGGCTGCCGGCCGCTCATGCTGGCTGCTGGCCGCTCATGCTGGCTGCCAGCCACACACGGTAGCCCATGGCAGCCCACTGCAGCAGGGGCTGCAGCCTATGCCATCGCCAGTGACTCACGGCAGCCCAGCTCCAGGTTGAGCTGTTGTTCAGCATCTTAGCTGTAGAGGGCAGTGTCACTGGCCCTCATGTGGGATCCGAACCGGGGCCCTGCTGCTGTTCTCGTCTTTCTTACTTATAAAATTATCAGTGAATTCCAAATTACTCATTAATGACTTTGTTATGACTGGACTCTTACAGGAAATAAAAGTGGTTCCTAGTTCTGTGTTCTGCTAAGTGGGAAATGAAAACAGAAGGTGCACTAATAAAACAAATATAATGTTAACCAGAAGATGCTTAAGTCCAAATTGTATAGCTCAAAAACGATAGGCCAGTATAAATCAGTACCATCCAGAGGCAAAGAGGATAGGGAACTTGAGTTATCACTGGTGATGGGGTACGATCCTTTCACCAAAAACCACTCATCATTATTTATTCATCATGAACCTATTTTTAAAAGATTTTTGTCTAACAAACTGTATTTACTAGATGATAATACTTTTTAAATTAAAGACACATCATACTGACTTGATAAAATTCAAGTTAATATTTCTTTTTCTCTACAGACTTTTACCCCCGTCAATTGTATTATGTCTCAAAGAGATAAGAAGTAGGGTTTAGGATAAGACAATCCCAAAGACACAGTAAAGGAGACTGTTCAAATTATTGATTCAACTCATGTTTCTGAATTATCAGTAAAGTGCTCCTTTTACTGCCAAAGAGAATTGAAAAGGCCACAGCAAGAAGTTTTGGAAATACAGATAAAAATAAATGTAGGTAAAAATATATAAAAACTGGCTCACTAATTGTGACAAATATACCATAGTAGTGAAAGATACCATTAACAGGTAAAACTGGGTGTGGGGTACACAGGAACTCTGTACTATCTTCGAAATTTTTCCAAAAAACTAGAACTATTCTAAAATAAAGACTTTATTTAAAAATTGAATATAGGGACATATACCTCTCTGATTGAGGTCAGCATGCTCAAAGAGACTAGTGTCCAAACAGTAACATTTCAAACTCTTATTGAGAAAGAAAACCATGATTTCTAATCAACTTAGGAGCAATGGGAAAGGGCTCTGTGTAACAGGTGTGACCTCAAAAGTAAGGACCACCATCATAGTCCGTGAACATAGCCGGTGCTTCACACATCTCTGCTTAACTACTTCACTAATTTAGAACTGCCCGAAAGCATGCGCTGAGTCGAGAACCAAATCCTAGAGAAGGAAGTATTAGCTGTCCCCTCCAATCAACTGCAGAGACTGTTCTAATCATGTCTCACTCCTGAAAATGTCCATCCCACTGACACTGCTTTCACAGGGAAAAAAATGGTTTTGCCTTCTTCCAAAGCAAAGAGAAGTCATCAGATAAGAGCCCCCCGACTCCTAGCCTTCCAGTCCCATTCATGAATGCATTTGCCTCTGCAGTCATGCTTCAGTTCTTCATGCCCGCCTACTTCAGGGGGAAAACAGTGCACCTGCCTCTGGGGGGCTCTCAGCATTACTATCCCCTCTCCCAGCAAACTGAATGCCCCAGGAGACCTTCTGTCTCCTCAAAATTCTTACTGACAAGTCATCACACATCTCCTATACCTTTAATCTCTCTTCTGGCTTCCTCCTCAGTGAACATATTCAAGTCTTCCCTTTAAAGAAGTAGTCCATAAAACAAACAAAACTCCCATTAATTCCATTTCCAGCTACGACTACCCTCTCTCCTCTTCATAGTTAAGCTGGTCAGTCTTTCTTGGTCTTCTTCACAGCTTCCTTTCCCTTGCTTTCTTGTCGCTAAATAACTTGTATTCCAGGGGCCTTGTCTTCAGCTTTGTACACTTCTAACTCTGCTTACTCTCCCCTAGATGAAAGCAGCTAAACTCAAAGCTGCAACTGCCATATATGCTGATGGACATCTCCATTTCCACCCCAGAAGACAGACTGTGCCAGAGCCCAGGTACACACATGCACCTGCTTGCTGGACATCTCCATTTGCAAATCTTCCACCTAAACATACTCTCCTGACCCCTACCCCAAAACACACTTCCTCCTCCTGGGACCCACAACCCTGGGGATAGTACCAAGAAAGCAACCCAAGAGTCATTTCCAACTGCCTTTCCCTTTCCCTCACTTTCCACAGGCGGCCACCAAATCCAGTAAATTCCATCTCCTTAACACTCTCAGGTCCATGCTTTCACGAATCCGTCACCCCCGCCATTTCTTTGTCCTGGTCTGCATAGTTTCTCTCTCGGATGATTATAGATCATCTTCTAACTGGTCTCACCATCTCCATGCTTGCCCTACACTGCTTCATTCCACGGACTACTCTACAAAATTCTTTTTCTAAAATGCCAATCTGACTGCTCGAATACTATTAAAGACTTCTCGCTCTTTTTAAACTAAAGCTCAAATCTGTAAGGTTGCCTAGAGGCCCTTCAGGAGGCAGGTTTATACCTCTCTCCCTAACTTAACTCTCCCTCTGTTCCAACCACTCCACAGTACACGCGCGGGACTCAGGACATTCTCGTGCAGTTCCTGCCTTCAGACCTGCTCCTCCCCCTCCCTGGAGCACAGCGCCCCTTCTCGGCCTGGATGACCTCACATTTCCCTTTCAGATTCTCTGGTAAGCCTTCTAGTATTACCCCCTTCTTCTGTGCCTCGGTCACCTCTTTTTCACTGTGCTGATTTGACTGTACAGTTTCTAGTTTATCTGTCTCTCTCACTCCGCTGTAAACGAAAGGAACAGCATTTAGTCAGGAAATTATTTGACAACAACCCGGTTTAGGATGAGGTTTCTAACAACACATGGTATCTGAATACAAAGGCAATCTATATCCAATTCTGCTCCACCAAAACCTGTCACTACACAGATCACCTCTGGGCCCCAGGGACCAGCCAGTCACCTGGAGACTGACAGAGACAGCCTGGAACTCTGACGAATACAGCCTCATACATTTGGCAGGCCTGATGCTTATTAATTCCTGGTTCACAGACACAGAAATAAGCTAAGCATCACTTTCTAAAATAAGCAGGCTCACATATCTTACCATAGGAATTCCCAAGCTTTCATTTCCCCTGAATGCAGCAAGCAAATTCAATTATGTTATTTAAATCCAACTAAAGCATTTCAGCAAATATTAAGTATTCAAATCACTCTGGAGGAAGGATTGGGATGTCTTAGTGAGATTAATCAACAGACATATTAAAGGGATAGCAGACTCATCCAAGTGGATTTCAGCTGCTAATTTCCCCAGTTTTTCATTTCTTTAAACAACTGGGCCCTGAGTGAGATCTTCTACTGTTCATCATTTGAGAAGACTTGTGTTCAAAAGGGCCCAGTTAAATACAACTCTGTCCTAGGGTCTCTGTGGGAAGTCCGTTCCTGTTTTAGCTAATTGATATTGAATCAGTTCTGTCATTTCCTGGATTTTCTGTAAAACACCACATGCCAATTAATCAAGTTAGAGATTAGCACAGAAGAGGGAATACATTAAAGCTCTTCACTGCAAAAGCAGACTTTGTTTTCTCCCCACTGCTTGTCTTATTTCCTCTCCTTGACATGAGACTTTGTGCCAGTGAAATAAGGGGAAAGAGACTTGAAACAGTCATTGTTTGGTGGGGAAAGAACCTACAAAAATACACTGGTGGTTGAGAGGCAACTTTTGCCAGGCAGCTGAACCAATACCAGCTATCAAGGATGTGACACAAGACAAGAAGCTCAAATTTCATATGGATGAGTTCTGAGGGTTTCAGTCTGATGGTTTTCCCAGGGAATACCCTCCACTAGACCTTCATTTCCAAACTCAAACAGGTCCCCGCTGGACAATATGGTCCTTCCAATCTCCACTCACTGAAGCCTCCATGAGAGAAAACTCAAGTTGAATATACCATAGAGGCTATTCAGTTCCTTGCTTAGTGACAGAAACCCCTGTTCTCAGGTAGCCAGGGTCAGGAATATATGCTCAGGACAGCAAGCTGGCGCCCACGTGACTCCACATGCTGTTTTCCTGGCAGGCCCAGGCTTGCACTCAGCAGCAATGTCAGTGGAGTATCCCCAGTGATCTCTGCCTCCTCTCACCCTCCAACGGCTTCGGGGTAGTTCAGAAATCTGCTCAGTTCTTTGGCCTAATTTTATTAACTCTGACATATCATGACAAGTATTTTTTCAGCACTTTTCTTCTCTTGGGGTAGTAATCCTGGGGGTACCAATGGGAGAGGAAAGTGGATTAATATTCTGCCAACTTCTAGCCGACACAGAGCAAACATCAGAAATTTCCATCTGTCAAAGCAAGGAAGTTACATGAAGCCGTACACAAAGTACATGAGAGATTCAGTGTCTGGATGTGTTGAGGCAAAAAGCAACAATGGCAACTATAAAAAACACCCTGTCATGGTGTGAACTGGTTCTCACGACAACCATCATTTAAAGGAGGAGAAAACTTAATCCATTCTGCTGTCTACTTTAAAATTGTGATCTATTGTCATCCTCTTCCTAGGCCATGATGACAGATAAAATAGAGAGAAAGATATTGCAATTTTTTCTTCAGATGGCTAAACAGCTTATTCATGGTGTCAATGGGTGAAATATAACAGGACAGAGCCCCATCTAAATTCTATCACCTATTCTAAAGGAAGATGACAGAAGATGTATTACTAATCAACAGAAAAGACAGCAGTGGATTAAAAAAAAAAAGATCAGACCTAAAAAGTAAGACCCACAAGATATCTGATTCATGTTGATGATATACAGGTAGATCTATATGTAATCGGAATAGGACACACATCTATTTTGAAGATAAATATAAGGGTATGTATGGGTAGGGGAGCTAACATTTGCTGAGCATCTCCCACTCACAAGGTATCATCTGGGTTCTTTAACCACAACTCAGAAGTTGCCCGTTTTAATTAAGGAAACTGAGGCTCGGAGTGGTTAAACAGCTTATCTAAAGTTCTCTGAGAGTGAGATGCAGACCCAGGATTTGACTCCCCGCTCACCTGCTCAAAAGCTGGTGTTATTTCCAGAATAACAAGCACTGCTACTGAAAACATTTTTCATATATGATGCCAAGGCCCACAGAGAAGCTCCAAGAGCCAATAACCCAAGTTAAGTTCAAGTCTTGTGTTCAATTCTGAAGGGCAATAAATGCATAATTCCTTACTTAAAACTTTTTTGTACAAATAAAGGCTATTTATTAGTAACTAAGTGGTTTCCTGGAAATTTCTAAAATGTGGCACCCATAGAACAAATTAAGGAGTTGTTAGATTTGACTCTCAGTGTTCCACTGTAAAGTCTGCCTGCCCAAGAATGGTATGGTGGTTAATTTTATGCGTCCACCTGAGTGGGCCACAGGGTGCCCAGATATCTGGTTAAACATGATTTCTGGGTGTGTCTCTGGAGTGTGCCTGGATGAGATTAGCATTTGGGTCCGCAGACGGAGGAAAGCAGATGTGGGTGGGCTTCACCCTTCCCAGTGTGGGTGGGCTTCATCCAAGCAGTTGAAGGCCTGAATAGAGTAAAAGGCTGATAAGAACTTTTTCCTTCTGCCTTTTATTTATTAGTTCATGATTTGTTATATACTTTACATTCATTTTATATTTTATTTTTCATTTCCCTTAAGCTGGGATACCAGTCTTCTGCTCGGATTTGGATTCCTAGTAGAACTCACACCAACAGCTCTCCTGCTTCTCAGGTCTTTGGACTCAGACTGAAACTATGCCATTGGCTCTCCTTGGTGTCGACTGCTCAGCCTCCATAATCACAGGAGCCACGTCCTTGCAATAAATCTCTTTATATAACTCATATATACATATATGTGTACACACACACACACACACACACACACACACACACACACACACACACATATCCTGTTCTATTTCTAGAGGATCCTGATTAATACAAACGGACAACACCAAAAAGCTCCTGTAGCCCTGAAACACATTTGAAAAGTTGGAATCTCCACAATTCACAAGAAGAAAACTATCAGTAGATCTTCAATGGAACCCTAGGTTTGGTTGTAGATTTCAAATACTGGTAGAGTCTTTTAACAATAAATCAATATTAGTTGTATCACTATGAATGCATTTTTGTGGGTTATTTGATAAATGCTATTGTATATATTGATGCATGATAGAAGCGACATTTAACAACTAGATTTTAAAATTACATTTAAAACACTATAGTTCAAATAATAATCATTTATACACTATTGCCACAGCAGATGTTTACATATTCTCCATGGTCCTCCCGCAAAATTCCCTGACACATAACGTATCATCAGTATCGCAAAGTTCTATTTGCACTAAAAAGGAGATGGGACAACTTAGCTGAGGAGTCTTTCATCTTCTCTAAGAGTTCATGTCCTAAAAATATTGAGAAATACCACCCTGAAGAAGGTAACCCAAATTCCCTTTGAAACAGTCTCTCACTCACAATTTCTATGTTGAGGAAGTTATTCTTTCCATTTGTCTAATATAAATCCTTCTGTTTTGATTTAAGCCTGGGTCATAAACCATAAACAATACATACAAAAAATTATCTAAACCCCAACACATACCAGGCCTCCAAGAGTCATCTTTCAATGAATGTGTGTTAAAATCTGCTCCCCACAAGGCCCATGCTACCCAGGTCTATACCTGAGTTCTACTTCTAGGTAACTCTGTGCTTTATGAGATTTCTAAACACAGAACTATTTCCACTTCTTGGATCTGGAATGGTCACTACTCAGGAAGCTTCCCTGCCCCAAGACAGAAGCTCTCAGACTTGGGCAAAAACTGTTCCCTTGGCGTCCCCAAAGCACATTCAACTCACCTCCTGTTTCTAGACCCTCTGACTTTGAACTCAACTTTCTTCCCAACCTTCTGCCCATTCCAGTAGCTGACAGCTGGTCATTCCCAGTGAGGCCGCATTCTCTGCCTCCTCCTCACTAATTCAACCCTAACTTCTGCTACTATTTATGTAACCCAGCACCAAACCTAATCCCAGTATGGATCCCAATGTGATTAAAGAGTATTGTGAAGAAGCAGCAGAAGTGGGAAGAGGATTGCTAAGAGAAAAAAGAACAATAGCTTGGGGGCCAGCCGAGTGGTGCGTTGGTTAAGAGCTGGCTTGGGACGCCAGCTCTGAGCAGCAGGACCCCGGTTTGGATCCCACATTAGGGCTGCGCCCTCTACAGCTACGATGGTAAACAACAGCTCGACCTGGAGCTGGGCTGCCATGAGTCGCCATTGACAATGTAGGCTGCAGCTCCTGCTGCAGTGGGCTGCCATGAGCTACCGTGAGTGGCTGGCAGCCGGACTGAGTCACCAGCAGCCAGGGTGAGCTGCCGTGAGCCGCCGTGAACAGCCGTCCAATGGCCATCAACTGATCTGCCTCAACTGGGAAGACTGCAATGTTCACAATACCAACATGGGCCAGTGAAGCGACATCCTCAACTATACTGAAGAACAAAAAGACAGCAACTTGTCTGTTCCCCTTCACCGATTCCCCAACGCTGTTCCCCTCCCCCAATTCCCCAATAAAATCTTAAAAAAAAAAAAAGAACAATAGCTTTTCCAATTTACTACAGACTTGGGCTGGGAATTATAGACATGGAGGATGAACTATCTAATAAAGAAGCATATAGGTAACATCCCTTAACTATATACAGAATCCTGTGTGTGTTGGGGGGTGTCCAAATCTCTCTGCAGATTCTCAAATGGTAAAAGAAAAAGATTAGAAAATCATTGCTATGATGAAATGCTATTAACATTATATAAAGTCTCTATATAGCTGTAAAATATCAGTGTATTTTGATGATGTATCTAGTTTAAGAAAAATCTATTTTATCTTTCAAATTCATTCATATTAGCTGGTTTACACTTTCACAGAGAACTACTGCAGAATTAGTCAGAAGGATGACACAAGACAGTAAATTCCAACCCAAAGCCTCAGAAAGAAGATACGGAAATTCCCGTGAAAGGGCATGCTAGCAGTCAAATAGATCTTTTACATCGAAGAGCAGACTCGGGCCTGTGAAACACAATTCAACAGGATGTGTGTGTCACAGATTGCTAGCTGGTTCTGAGGCTGGCTCATTACCACCCCACCTGCACCTACCAAGCTGAAAACATGAATTATGCCACTCTACCCATACAAGTAGCTTTCGGGGATGTGAAGCAGGCAATGAAATGTGGTCTCCAGCAAAGTGTGACGTCTACCAGGAAAGAGCATACCATCATTGTGGAAATATTTTCACTACTTTCACACATCACTTCAACTAATACAAGAAGTATGATTACTGTAATTATGTGGATGCCGGCCCTCTTGGCCTCCAACAGCAAATGTTGGATATAAATGGTAATCATTTTCCTGAGATCTTGGAGGAATGAGATATAGAGAATATTCATCTGTTTTTCCCTGGATGCTATACTGGTTCATGAACAGAAAGTTTTACCCTCCAAAACATTCTCTATTCTTTATGCATTCTATGTAGAAAGAGCCAATAAATAGAGAGCATCCCCACTACCTACATTTACTCAGAAATTTTAAATTAGAATCACGAACAAATGTTTTTGCCTCCTTAAGTGTGGCTTTCCCTAGCAACTCATTTGTTGGGTTAATAACCTACCTACCTCCCTAAAGACTTACAGATATTCAGGAAAGGGAGCAAGCTGACTGTGCCAGTTATCAGTGCATTGCCTCGGGGCCACAAATCAATCCTTCATTGACTGCTCTGCGAAAACTGAATAGGGCCCTTTAAATATTTTTCCTTTGCCAGCTGGCACCATGTTAAGCTCTGCCAGTAGAGGTCGCTGGAGAGACACCACAAAGGGATTCCTGCTGGAGCCACAGGCCCTGCCATACATGCAGCAGCATGCGGCCCCCCAGGGGCTCCCACAGCACCCAGGTGCTGCCCCCAGGTACCCTCATAGGCAGTTTCACAGGAGAGTGCTTCCTGCAAGACACCGCCCCCCAAATGGCTTTCCCTGGCACCTCAGAGAGTAGATTTCCAGCAAATGTCAGAGTGCGGATGTCCAGCGATTCCACCACCATTGACATCTCTATCACCTCTGTGTCATTCAGGGAGACAGAGAGAGGAAGGCGGAGGGGCTCTGCCTTGGGTGCATGGCTTACTATCGGTCCTAGAGGTAGCAGCCCCTTCTATCTGCTTGTTCCATACTCTTTAGCGGTCTCTGTACTTCTTACTAGCCAATCCCTCATTACCCCAATTCTCTGTGCTGTACTTAATAATTCTTTATTATTAAGCTTTTCCCTGATCGAGTTACTGTGTCGTTTCTGTCCTGCAATCCAGCTCTGACTGACTCATCTGATACTCTGGAAGGCTAGAGCGTGTGACACAGCTAAGAACGCCCAACCAGCAAAGCTGACAGGTGAACTGCCAAGGAGTTAACTATGTTAGCTGCCATCTTTACAGAGTGGAAGTTGGCAGACGAGAATGAGGGAGACATGCAAGAGCCACACATACCAACGGCTGCTCTGTGCAGGACCCTGGGTTAGAGACAGGAGGCACAAAGAGGATAGAGTGGCACCCTTACGGGACTAACTAGCTGGCGACACCGGACATTCACAAACTAACAATTCAAGGCAGTAAGTGCTCAAAGTTCATTAAGGGCCATGGGCAGTAAATAAATAGGTCGGCGATGGGGGCCTCTGGTTACGAGGCTGTTAGTTTCTAACTTGTCATAAGGAAAACTATTTACCTGCAGAGCTCTGGGCCACAGAAAACAAAAGCCGGCCTCTCTTTACACGGTTCTCCAAGCCCCCACTTTGTCCTCTAATAATGGTGTACTACTCAAATCCAATATGTTATCGACGCCTGGCTGTGACGAGTTGCTTTTCACTTCACAATCAAGAGATATGCTGAAGTAAACATTTGGGTAGAGAAAAATTATTTTAAAAAATAAACCCATTTCAATTTAAGTGTGTCTTCAACAGGGGGAGTCCTTCCTAATAGATTTTAAAGAAGGGATTAGGGAAACATGGTGACTACAATCTATGACAGCCAAATAAAAATGGCTTCAATAAAGCCCCTCTGCATGAGGCTATTAAGGAAACCCAATAACCACATGGTGGAGAATAAAACCCTGTCATTCACTGAAAGACAGAGAAGCGATTCAGGACAGAAGGCAGGAATAAAGAGACTACCCTTGGCAAAACTGCAAGAATAACAGTGGGGAAGCTCGCAAAAGGAAGCCTAAGAACAGGAGGGTTCTAATGAACCATCTGGAAAGTGGGGGAGAATATCAAAGGGAGCAGAAGTGAAATTTTCTAATCATAAATAAAAGTGATTTTCTAATAAGGATGAATCACAAAGGATTTCAAAGGGCTTGTTCAAAATGAAGGATAGCCACTCCACAAGGATTAACTCATTACAGGCAAGGGCACAACCTATGGAAGGAAACCCTGAAACCACACTCCTACAGGAAAAAATGGAGGGTGGCAGTGACTATTTTATTTTCAGGAGCTGGGGTGGGATGCAATATGAACATGACACAGACATCTTGATGAAGTATTGTGGTAACGTGTTGTGGTCAAAATTGTATCAAGAGCTTACTTCTCTGTACACCTTCACTCACTGCTTCCATAAAAACATTCCCCTTTGTTTCTGACCAAAAAAAAAAAGGGAAGGCTCATCATGAATAATCTTAAATTCAGGTAGCAATATTACTTGCATATGTGTGTATGTAAGAGAAAGACCCTGGATAAATTTGGGCCAGAGGAAGTCATCAAAAGGAAATGAACACA